ATCTTTTTTAGTCATTAAATGTTGACTGCTTCTCATCTCTGAAAACTGTGTACAAACAGCAGCAGATGAAAAATCAGATGTGATTTGAGATTAATCATATTGACAAAAAGAAGTTTCTAAGTCTCTATTCTGCAACTCAGATGCAGACTCTGACTGAGAGCAATATCAAAAGCAGTTTTAAAGCTTTTGAGCTGATTTTGTATGATTCTGAGCAAATTCTCTCACAGCTTAATATTATGATATATATTCTCACTCTCTTACAGATCTCTCACAGCTTTCAGGCTTTATGAGTGACAGTCACATCACATAATGTACATCAATTGAAGTAGCAGACTGAGAAAGTTAAAGAATATATCAAGCACTATACAGAGCTCACTTAGTTCAATCAATTGTGCTCTAAGTCAACTGATCAAAGAATGTCAAATGATAATGCATAGTGCTGCTATTCTAGTAGCTGAAAACAGAGAGTTAAGAGCTCAAAATGCCAAACAAAAGAGAAAGTGAGAAAGAGACAGTACATATGTAGCTCAAGAGAGTGCTTTGAGGGTTGAAGAAGGCTTGAATCACATACAAAGAGTCAATGAATGGGAAGGAGGGGTGATTGAAGCTGCTGACTCTCAACCATGAAAACACACAGCACCACAGTGTAGTGTATGTGAGACTATTGCACATACTGCTCATACATGCTCTCAGTTTGCAGGAAATAATTCTTAATATAATTTACTACTTTCTGTATATAATTGTTGCTTAATTTAATCTGAAATACTTTGAGTGGTGAAAGGCCGATCGACTAGGTGATCAGATCGACTAGGTGATGGATTACGTTAATGTTAGTTAACCCTAACTAAACAGTCGCCCCGTCCTTTATAGATCAATCACAGTAGCCAGATATTCTCCCATTTCAACGACTCATACGAAGCCTCGGAGGCTTGAGAGTTGTCCAGGCTCTAGAACAATGATCTGAGCTGCTATCGCTAGAGGGTCCGTTCGTTCCCTGGCAGTTGGGTCAGTTGGCCTTATGACCAGCACAAAGGAAACTTGGCTCATACTGCCGGATTTGCTTATGGGTGGACGTATCTGCTAGCCTCGAGGGACCTGGACTACGGTTGTTGGATTGGGCACAAGGGGTTATCGAATCCTGTGAGGCCTAGTAGCCGATGCGATAGTGCTCTGACGACTTCTTGCACAGTTTATAAAACCTTTTTCATTGCATTGTTTTTACAGCGCACCAACTGAGATGGGCCTTGGGAAAGTAACTAATTTTGCACAACTATATTGATAATGACTGTAAAATATGCATTACCGCTTCACGCCATTTCTCTTCTGAAGATATTTGAGGCTACTTAAAGAATCGACAAAATCACGATTCAGTCAAACGAGATTGATCAAAGGCAGGGTAATATATCGGGTTCTGATGATACTGTGCGTCCCAGAATGTTCGTACGGTCAATAGGCAACTTGTCAATTCAGCAGCAGTTCCACGGTTGATCCGAAGAAATCCAGACATCCACCAGTGACCCCTATCTTCTTGCCCAATTGATAGGCAGGAGACATCTATCTCGAGAGCAGGTCCCTTCTGGAAGAGTTGCCAATTTCCCAGGTCATAAGGAGAAGGGTAAATGTACAAACCACTATCGATGTGATGGGATATTGACAGGCGCAACGCCATTCATTTGCTTGGAGGAATTGCCAATCACCTCATGGTTGGTGTCAGTGGTACGATTCATTGTAGTCCGCTATCAGTCAATTTTTATCTAACCCAAGCCGCTGAACTGTCTACTCATATGTTGCTGTGTATGGCGTTTTGAGATAAACGATGAATTATGAAAACCGGAAAATGGAATAGGCAGAGTGCTACCTCGTTTTTACCATTGGGTTCGTATTGCCCGAACAATGGGAACCAACTGGCTTTATAAATGAGAAATTATATTTGAATATTTGGTTTGTCTTTTCCGTGCACCCAATTCCTCTTTGTTCATTTTTTTTAGGAATACTCCGTTCTCGGTACAAACTGAAAGGAAGCGCTTGTATCAGACACGGATAAAAGTGGGTCAGATTGCTAGATACAAAACTACTGTGTAATCTGCCTGCAATCACAGATTCTTCAGGATTCACGGATATCAGACTGTTTATATACAGAATCAGACACTCTTAAAAATCAATGTAGCTCAATTTCATAAGAAAATTGATATATAAAGCATTAAAGAATACACAAGATTCAAATACTTAACCAGGTAACTAGTTAACTAACGTATTTCCCAAGTGAGCACAACACCCAAGCGAGCGCAACACCAAAACCACCAGAGCTCAACTCATTAGATTTTAATTCAAATTATCTCAACACTACAACACTCAATTAAATTAAATTAAATTACATGCGGTTGAGAACATCTTAATCTTGTATGCCTGAGATTATTACAATTGCTGCAGCATTGTGGAGCTCATCAGCATGGAGCAGGTGCAGATAGTGAGGACTCATGGGATTGAATAACTGGCTGTTCAACAGGTGCTACAGACTCTGCAGATGGTGCAAATGAAGCTTGAAGACTTTAAACTTCTTCACTAGTTAAACCTTCTACTTCTTGTTGAATTTGATGTCTAGATCTCTTGCATTTTTGCTTCTGTATCTCATTCATGTTGAATATATCCTGATATTGCTTCTTCATAAATAGTGACACTGACCATTCCATATTCACAGGCCTTGATAATTTGATCAAAGCTTTTGCTCTGCTGTAGCACTCACTACTAGTAATAATCTTAGTAGTGACATAAACTCCCATAGCAAATCCAGTCTCATCAAAGTTGTATATATCTTCTGACAGAATTCCATGCTCAGCAATTGTATCTCTCAAGGTCTTAAACCAATCACATATAATCCACTGATCTTCATACTTAGTCTGTTCTGATTATAGCACCTGGAATAGCAGCTTTGAAGCACTGGACAGTGTGCCACTAGATTTGACACTCAGTTCTTGCCAATTCAGAGAGGGGGGGTGGTGGAAGTGTTTGAATTCTGTATAGTAAGAAGATAATTAGCTGTATTCTTAATCAATGCTGGCTGTGGGGGAAATCCTTGTTTAGCCTGGTCCAGCACTCATTCAACTAGCTTATCTTCTTCAGCAGAAGATAATTTGTGTGAATTTGCATGTAAATTCATCCTTGATTGCCAGCCATTTAGTCAATAGATTAAAGTAGAATAAGAGACATTAAATAAGTGAGCAGCTTCACAAATTGAAGCAATTTCTTCAGTTTTAAAGACTTTTATCGCGAGTTCAAGTCTTCCCTCTCTTTCTAGAGAATCTGAAGCATTTTTATTGCGAATTGGTGGCTAATTACACGTTGAAGTGGAAGGGTAGTTAAATTAAAAGATATTTTGAGTTGGTGTTTGCGCTCGCTTGGGAAATACGTTAGTTAACTAGTTATACTGGCTGCGTTAGTCAGCGCAACAAAGGTTCGACGTCATCCAACTTGAAAGTCCAACCGCGGGCAAAACATTTTTTCAACTGGCTCCACTACAAAAATAATCATCTATAATAAATAAGACAGAATCTTGCGGAGAATATATCACACCTAAACCGCTCACCAATGTCCTGACCTTATCAAAAGCCTCAAGTCCTACATAGGCTCCTGGAGTTGAGCTCGTACGCCTAAAGTTACATTTTGATCGTCCTCTCGAAAACTCCGCTTATTATTCCCATCACCATCTCCATCCCACTCGCCGATCCCAGACAAGGGTTAACCGACACCCAATCTAATATATCCCTCTATGCCAATTGGTGTTCCCACAACAATCCACCATGAGCAACACATCTCTCCCGTCGTCTTTTGACTCTCATCCGTATGTCCACCGACCCCCTCATTCTGCCTGCCACACCCGGTCCCACTCTCCTACTAACCAATATTGTATTCCTCAGAGAATTCTTCCAGGAAACAAAATGGCAGAAATTTACCCGCCGCATTAAAGAGGAGCCTCTTATCCCAATAGGTAATGAAATAGCATATATATGAAAGCTTACACTCTTGCTTCTGCACTGCAATTGTTGCCGTCTTCCACCCCACCTTCCTCTTCACTAAACAAATCCACACGCTCCATCTCAATTTTAATAAATCAACCAGGCTACGCCGCAACCAGCTACGCCCTCTGGCGCGCCTACAAGTCCATGAAAGCTGGTGACTCGATTGAGCTCAATCGCATGTTCCGCGCCCGGATTTACGGCCACGCCTTTACTCTCTTCGCCATCGTTGCTGGCGGTATATACTACGGCAACGAACGGAGGCAACGGAAGGAGTTTGAGAAGGCTCTTCAGGAGAAGTCGAATCAGCAGAAGCGCGATTCTTGGCTGAGAGAATTGGAGATCAGAGACAAGGAGGATAAGGATTGGAGGCAGAGGCATGCTGCTATTGAGGCGGCGGCGAAGGAGGCGGAGAAGAAGGGTTAATTGGGCAAGGGAATCGGGGTAGATGGTTCCCCAGTGAGATGTTTGGCTGTTTATCTAGGCCTGGGGATCGTTGCAGTTATTTCGTATAGGGAGCGCTTCGTTCATGAGTAGAAACATCCAGTTCCTGGTGAGTAATGGCTCTGAGAGCCATTGGTTTTAGAGCCGTCGCGTCCTGATTGTATACTCTCATCTATGTTCTAAATATTTATCCATGGATTTTGGTGGATTTCCAAAGCTGGGGGTTTCTTTGTAGGTTATCTTCTGTATCTATTGTCTCATTTACGGATATGGTGTTTGAATGGGAATACCTCTCTGCTTTTGCTTGCTACCCTATTGTTATATAGCACTGCTATTTTTTAATTCCGGTTTGCAAATATCCTCTCTTAAAATTCGACAGATATATACACATTTAACTCCCTATTTTTTTTATATAGACACAATTCAGCAGTGAATAGCTCAGTGAACAACAGGGAAAATTTCTTGATAATTGTTCACTTCATAGAAGCCCAGCCATAGAAACCAAGTAAAGCTAGACACATGCACCGTATGTGAAAGCTGGCATCACACCGTCATTTCATCGATATATCGCCTCACGGCTTCGAATTCCGTTTTCCCGGTCTGGAAAGATCCACCATCAGTCATTGTATACGTTCCAGCTGAAATATGGAGAGAAAAAAAGTAGTACTAGGGAAAGTAGAAAAGGTTTTACATTTCCATACCGAGATCAAGAACCTAATATGAGTCTGAAAAACCAAAAATCCCGGATTTATGGCTTATTAGTCTCAATTGCGCCGAAAGAAGAGCATTGTTAGAACGAAACTTCTTACCAAATCCGTCACATCTTTGTGCCGCTCAAATTCATGGCGGGCGAACGAGCGCATTTCATCTCTTGTGCTAGATTGCGGAATCTCTAATTACGGATATAGGAAAACCCTCAGTGGTTAGGGTCCGCAGCAGTGTCCTGGTCACCAAGGAATGAGGAAATCCGTGAAAAGAAGCATACTATTAAAAGCTCGTACTATCTCACGCCAGAGACTAAGAGCTCGCTGTCGCTGAATAAACTATATGTTTTGGCAATAGGCTTTAAATTAGCATATCTTTGGCCATTTCCATGCATACATGGATATAGAGTTAATAAATATATCAACTCACATGCTCAAGACTCAGAGCTGGTGTTCTAGGCTTTCGCGGCGATGCGGCTGCTAAAAACAGGCGAGCTGACCAGCGCATAGATGGATATTGCTGCGATTGCGGATCCCATGCCCGCCGTTCAGCTTCAATAACTATACCCTGAGCTGGCAGTTCAAAACAATTTCCGTTTCCGTTGCAAGTTTGCAAAACTCTGAGGAGAGGCAAAATGAAGGCGGTGAATATCTTGAACCTGAATTTAGCGCAATAAGCGCGTCAGCAATCAAATGTATGCGACACTTTCGCGGCATCGAACTTCACAACATGAGTGGGAAGGAAAGATTGACAATGCTTATATGTTTATATCTTATTATGATACACTGAAATTATTTGCGTGTGGTGAATGGTTGATTATGGGCTTGTCTCTTCTGCGAAGCGTCCGGGGCAGCAGAATCAAGAAACTAACAACTACCTTGACAAGGAGAAATGAACGGAATGAAAGAATGTTGAGGAGTCGTAGAATGGAGCAGCATATAAAAGAGGCCGGAAACGATTTTGCGGGTGAAAACAGTATGGAAAAGAAACCAGAACCAAGAAAACGTGCGTCAAGTATTTATGTCGTGATAGTGATGCACTAGCTACCGAGCTTCTATCCCATACCTCTATTAATTATGTCTAACACAACCCATCTGTCTAGAGGAAGAAAAGCCACAGCATATTCAACGACGATTAGTGGAAAGCGTGAACGAGCTTCCCTTTGACGAATTCATCAATCGCTATGTTCCTCCGAGGATACACGACTTCTCGATATCTGTCCCCCGCCTTACAACTACCCCCACAGATCTAGGAACATATGATACCTATTCAATTGAAATGTACTCGTCTAGTTCTATTTCTCTAGAAGACCTTGAATCGTGCTTTCTGCTGGTGAAGCTTACAAGCTCGGAAATGTACAAGAATTCAGCCGGGGGCTGGTCTCCTAAAAAGAAGAAGAACGAAATGAAGCTACTAGATTTGCGGTATATGCTGTTGGTTCGTACTACCACCGGACAAGGCCAAGACCAAAATTCAAGTAAGAACACTGGCAGCCCTGTGACAGGCGGGCGAGCGGTTGGAGGCTTCTTGGCGTTTATGGTAACATACGAGGATGGATTTGAGGTCATCTACTGCTACGAGATCCATCTCGCGCCCGAGCTACAGCACAAGGGACTTGGAAAGATTCTATTTGGCTTCTATGAGGAGATCGGAAGGAAAATAGGGGTACAGAAGGCCATGTTGACACTTTTCAAGGCGAATAAAGCAGCAATTAGGTTCTATGAACGATTAGGATACGGGAGGGACGAATTTTCACCAAAACCTATGAAGCTGCGTAATGGGAATACTCGGGAATACGACTATATGATTTTCTCTAAGGATCTTGGGGGTATGCAGACGATAAAGAAGGACACAAATAATATGGATATTGTCTTGTGATGGAAGCCGCTCCAATTGCTATTGGGGAAAGGTTTGCCAACATATCAGATCTGCTTGGTATATTTCCCTTTCATTTCTGGTCTCTCCTTTTCCCACTCATCACGGAGGACAGCGAATATCGAATCTGCGACAAGGATTGAAAGTCCTAGACTCCACACCAGGGTTATCGCATAGAAGAAGTTGGCGTTCCCCGAACCAGCGTATATCCATAAGTGGTGGAAGACAGGGCCGAGAAGAGTGGCATAGAGAAGAGCCGCCACAGCAAAAAATGTGTAACGCATTACTGGGAGTATGTTAGTGGTATATACTCTAGGAGAGAAGGGGCGGTGGGGTAGGCAACATTACATGGGAAAATATGTCGATATAAGGGAAGAAGCGCAAAATAGATGGACACGTCAGAAATACTCGGGTATGGTTTAAAGATAGCGAATATCCCAAGGAGTGAGGTGAGCACAAACAGTGGCTGGGTCCTCATGCGCACGCTAAATGCTCCAACGTACGTTGCCAGATGTAGCCAGAAAACTCCTAGGAAAAACTGTCGAAATGGGTCAAATATCTCAACGAAGAAGTACCACCATAGACCGGCGTTGGGAGTCAGATCGGGCACCAGCAGCTGCACTCCATAGGTCGCTGATATGAACTCCAATGAGTTACCAGTGATTATGAAAGACATGTACAGGAGTACAAAGACACTTGCGACAAATATGAAGAAGTATTTTAGAGCGTAGATAAGAGCGCTGCCAGTCAACCTGCCTCCTTTTACAATGCGGTCGTAGCAGAGCAGAACGAGGGGCGGGAATAGGAGGGCAGGATAGAGCGACAGGTACGAAGCGAATGCCAGCGCAAACGCTGAGCTGAAAGTGTTGCGCATAACCGCGTTGGAAATCGCATACAGGATTGCGGAATTAGTGAATGCATTGGGCGATCTTCCAAGACATGTCGCAATTGTGAAGGGGTTAAACAGGTAGCTGTGAAGATGTTAGTGTTCGCTCTTTATACTTATTATATTCGTAACAAGTCCACAAGTCCACAATCGCAAGCATACCCTGCAGCAATAGACACACCATCCCATCTTATATCTTTCCGTGGGGAAGTGTAAAGGCGAGACACCACAGACTCAGCAGAGTTTGATATGGTGACCAACGCCGCTGCGTTCAAAAGATCCACGAGAATGTATACCAGCCCGGTAAGGAGTGGGTGACTGCTGGATTGGGGGAGGAGAGAAAATATCGGCAGGAGGATCGGGGCCTTGCGCAGGAACGCATTAAATACATTGTAATATTAGGTCCGTTGTAAAGATGGTATATGTACCTGGTGATAAACGCCGCCATCATATGGGGACACATTGCGGGTATAGAGGAAGACTCCTTCTTGGACTTCCAAGCCGCATTGGACGTCAGCAGTGGCTCACATTCTCTTAAGGTTATATTTTTACATACGTCTTTTAAAGCTGCTGGCTGGAGTAGAAACCTCCACTCTGCCTGTTAGGAGGTCTGGGAGGGTGGGGAATAGCGTAAATAGGAGGATACGGAGAGCAATTGCTCCGCCGAATACGCAGAGTTTTCTTCTGTCGACTGGCATCATAAACAAGGATCGTTAAATGAGTTCATTCTGATATCAAATAGTAAACCTCAGGCTTTGAATGTGGAGTGAACAAGCTGTGAATTGGGTTGGAATCTACTCCGTACATGTTAAATGGTTTACTGTCCAACCTGGTGGACTCTTTCCACGTATTATTATCTCGCAGCCGCAGCGATTTAGCCGCTCGATTGTCGCGCACGGGCCACAGCGAGCTTTTCTCCGATTCCCGCACAACATCAATTTTCAACAACTGATACAACGCCTGAATCAGCAAAATTTTACTAAAGTTCGAGGCTTTTCCCGTTCCAAATATGGGGCAAATAAAAAAGAAGGGTATGATGCTCACCACTATCGATGTTACGATTGAGCGTTGGTTGCTAACCGAATTCCAGGGACCTCTGGTCAGGCGAAAAATTTCATCACCAGAACACAGGCGGTACGCAAGCTGCAGATTTCCCTCCCCGATTTTCGCAGACTATGTATTTTTAAGGGTAAGGGATTTGCTTTTCTGCGATGTGAATAATTGCAATCACTAATATGATTTACGTTTAGGTATCTATCCCCGTGAACCTCGAAACAAGAAGAAAGCCTCGAAATCTGCGACCCCGAGCACCACTTTTTACTACACGAGAGATATCCAGTACCTACTTCATGAACCCCTACTTAAGAAGTTCCGCGAACAGAAGTCGCTTGCGAAGAAGATAGCTAGGTCTCTTGGCCGTGGAGAAGTTGGAGATGCTGCAAGGCTCGAGAAGAACAATGCGCCCAATATATCACTTGACCATATTATCAAAGAACGGTATCCCACATTCATAGATGCGCTTCGGGATTTGGATGATGCTTTGTCGCTTTTATTCTTGTTTGCCAACCTGCCTTCAACGAAGACTGTACCACCTAAAACCATTGCTCTCTGTCGACGGCTGTGTCACGAGTTCCAGCATTACTTGATTGCGACTAATTCTCTCCGAAAATCCTTCCTCTCGATCAAAGGCATCTATTATCAGGCTACGATTCAAGGCCAGGATATAATGTGGCTTGTGCCTTATCGATTTGTTCAGAGGGTTACAGGAGACGTGGATTATCGAATCATGGGCACTTTTGTGGAGTTTTATACGACACTGCTTGGTTTCGTCAACTTCCGACTGTACACCTCGATTGGTTTAGTTTATCCACCAAGGTTTGACAAGTCGAGCGATGAACGTGGTGCTGAGTTGGCAGCCTTTACTTTGGAAGGCCGTAAAGTTGGAGAGACACAAAAATCAATCGAAGGCTCACAGCACATAAATGAGAACGCTGAGAAAGAAAAACCTACGTCTAACGATATTCAAGCTAAAGTCGATAACATACTCAAAAAACCTGAACTCGATGCAGAACCAACAGATTTGCGGACTGAAGATAGGGAAGATAATACTGATGCAATCGATACTTTTGAGCCAATTGCACCTGAGGCCGATACTCTGCCACAACCACAAATCAGTGGGCATGAGGCCGGTTCGTTATTTGCACCGTTCACATTCTACATCTCTCGAGAGGCTCCTCGGGCACCCCTTGAGTTCCTGCTGCGTGCCTTTGGCTGTAAACGAGTTGGATGGGATGGCGTTCTTGGCGATGGGGCTTTTACACATGATGAGCTAGACACTCGTATAACTCATCAAATAGTCGACCGCCCTCCGCTCCCTGAGTCTGCGCTTCCTCCCATGCCAAAGAACCCCAAAGAGGGAACCGAAACCGCTCCGCGGGTAAGGCCTGGCACCAGGATTCCTGGCCGGACATATATCCAGCCTCAATGGGTCTGGGATTGCATCAACGAAGGAAAGCTTCTGCAGCCTGATCTCTATGCTCCTGGATCCACTTTGCCGCCACACCTGAGTCCCTGGGTTAAACCTTCCAAGGGTACCTACGATCCTAGAGCCTCGCTTGCTGATCAGGAGGAGGAAGGTGAAGCAGAACGGGCAGCTGAAGAAGAGCATGAGGACAGTGAAGGGAAGGAGAGCGAAGAAGAGACTACCCAGTCGAAGGAAGGTAAGAAGTTGCTTGCTAACCTTGCATATGACTCTGGTAATGAAGAGGGACATGACGACGGTTCGATTGACGGCGGTATGGATATTGCGATGGGAAATGACGACAGTGATGAGAGCGGGGACGACAATGAAGGTGTAGAGGAATTCCATGGGTTCGACCAGGATGAAGAGATAGATTCCGAATCGGAGGATGAAGAGGAAAAGGCTCGGACACAACATCAGAAGGAACTAGAGGCTGAGGCCGCTGGGCTTCCCTTCTCGGCTTCCTGCGAAACAAAGAATGGAGCAGTTAACGGTAAAAAGCAACAAGGTCCCTTTGCTAAAAAGCGGGCAGCTCAGAAGAAGAAGGAAGAGGAGGAACTTGAACGCAAAAAGATGATGCTGAGTCGTAAGAAGCGCAAGTTGCTTGATAAAGTGATTTACTCCAACAAGAAGCAGGACGCAGAGGCGGAGAAGCTGAGGCAGAAGCGAAGAAAAATTGAGAAAGGCCTAAAGCAGTAAAACAAAAGTACTCTTAAGCAATTTTTTTTCCCTTATATACGAAAACTGGTAATATCAGACCGCCCAGAGCAGGCCTTTTTTTGTATGGAGATCGAAGGACCTCTTTTGTTTGTTCTAGGAGTTTTTGTTGCCTGGAGTTTTGTTTTGCTTTTATAGATTATACGGAATTTTTTATTATTAACTAATAAACCGTGTTTCAAAATATTTCATGAATTCCATTCTTCGTGTGAATATACTCTCTCAACAGTAGGGCTTCGGGATTTATATGCGGGTTATTCTGGCGACATCTGCCAAGACGGCATGCCGAAATTTCACGTGATCATTTGTTTTCGGAAATGTTCTCGAAGTTTAAGCCGACGTCATATCAGTCTTGTCCATGTTTATCGATCCAATATTCATGTTAGGAATTGCGAAGACAATATATAACGACTCTCCACATTTCGTGTTGCTGTCTGATGAAGCTTGCAGAAGTTTCCCCCTCGTTCGTATTCAAATACATTTGGAAAATTCGTGACAGCGAGCTGCTCTAGTCGCAAAATTTGACCCTTCACCCTAGATGTATCAGGATATAATAACAATTTAAGCAGTGCTTTTGTTTGAGTGGGAAATATGGGGGAGTGTTTTCCTCTTTTATCCTCGACGTCCATACTCCCGCAGGACTCTCTGTTCTGTGGTTTAAGTTAACACCAGAATGTCGGCATCAAGTTCTCTAAGGGCGGATTCCCCATCCACGAACGCGAGCCCATCATCACATCAACAAGTTCGGGAAGCATCACAGAGTGATTCGGAGCTACATGGATTAGAGTACGAAGAGAAGCTGATTTTACAGCAAATCATTCCTCAACCAGACGCCTCTGATGATGGCATATCTCTTACTGAGTATGACAGCATCTCGGATTCAGACAGCAATAGGAGTGCTCACAAGAAGAATGAGCAAGCTGTAAGCAAAAAAGATTACGACTCCTCCGAAGGATCTCCTGAGACCGAAAGACCAAACAATTACCGAGGCCCTCCATCAACATGGCGTGCCAAAACTCGACAAGAACGGCAAGAAATCAGCGCTTTGGAAGCCCTCCGCGCACGAGATCTATCGATCCATCTGTTCAATGCGTTCGCACTCAAAAGGAGAGCGAAGAAAATAGAATCTTTTAATTCAGAACAAGTTCAAGAGCACCAATCTAGTAATAGTGGAAATGCAGGCCCGGCTTCTTCATTCGTGCCAACGAAGCAGTGGACCGCATGGCCCCTACCTGCGGACGAGGTTCCAAGAGGAGACGAACATGTGCAGAAAGATGTGAGCGACATCTGTAATATGACCGGTCCATCTGATGGACGCCCTAGCACAGAATTAGAAGAATGTATCATGGCCCAGATGCTTAAAACAGCCAAAGAGAAATTTGAGGCTCGAGCATGGAAGGATCGACGACCTCACCTTCGCCATAGGAGCAACGGAGCACCTTCGGATACCGCTGGCACCGAAATGAATACTGAAAATGATTCATGTGATGGTGAAATTGGCGTACACGCAGAAGTACAATTCCGACCCGTCGTTCTGGCAGATGATGATAAGTCTAGAGTGGCGCTACGGCCCTCAGCAAGACACATACTTAACGATCTCGATAATATCCTTCTGTGTTTACACCATTCACGACAATCCTATGTTACAACTGTCGACTTATCTCAAAGCGAATGTGAAACCGAACCTGAAGATGGGTCAAATTCCAGACCCACGTCACGTTCACGAGCCAGGTCGCGCCGCAGCAGATCACGCTCCCGAGGTATAGATCGATCATGGAGGCTGTCTGCGAACACTATCCCTACCGTTATGTCAGATCGGGAAAAAAATGTGGATCTATCTGATGCCCCAAACATGCTCTCGCACCCATCGAAAACCCAACGACCACGATCAAATACACCCCGACGTTCTCGAAGCCGATCACCTGGTTCAAGGCAATCTAAGCTGGGTCTACGTGATTGGAGCGACATTGTTGGCATCGCTTCAATGACGGGATGGCCAACATCTGTCGTTATGAGAACAGCAAAACGTTGTTCAGAGCTGTTTGGGGAAGACATGGCATTCAGGACTCTAAATGAAGTGAAGTTGGTGCTGAGTGAGGGTGCTGAAAAATCCATGCCTACATGGGAGTATACCGACAAAGAAGAGTCGGGGGAATTTACGGATTTTGAAATTCCTAATACTACCAACATTGTTCGGAGGCGCGGGCTGGATCTGGAAGGGCAGCTGTTTTGTCCTGTTAAGGGATGTTCTCGGTCGACGAAAGGATTTTCCAGGACTTGGAACTTGAACCAACACGTGAAAAATAGGCACCCCAATCTTAAGTATGGGAGCCGTCAAAACATATCCGCCCCTCAAACCGAGGACCCTGACTGATAGATCACTGCAAATGGGCTACTTGCTCCATAACACTTGAGACCTTTCCTACCAGAGCGGAATCTTTTTCTCAGTTGATGCTGACGATTCCAATAGACTCCAATTTGAGAAAAGAACGTGCTCGCGGAGCCGTGGAAGCCATACTGTGTCTCTCATTCTAATAACTGCCTCGTTTCCCCTGAACATATACGGAATAGAATGGCATGACTTGCGAAGGCCATTGCGAATATGACGCTCACTGGCACGATTGCGTCAATTGTTGGTCTTGTTTTTAATTCACTGGGAATTGGGACTTAAGAAAACAATAAGAAAAACTAAGCTGTTGGACAAAAAGGTGGACATGCATGAGGAATCTTGTGCACAATTCAGGAAAGAAACCACTCATTGTGGTTGTGTATTGTTGATATTGGAGAGTATGCTCCCCTCTAGTGAACCGGCAGTACACTCGAGAAGCACAGTGTTGCAATATGGTTCCCTGGATGGTCCGTAGAAATCCGGCAATTGGTAAACGGCCCATAGTTCACGTCTTTGTGCATCCGACACCTTCTGGGCTAGTTACTTGAATAAATGGCAACGCTGTCCATGTCACGCCGGTATATATGAAAAGCCGAAAAGCAAGGACAGGTGACCTCTAGCTTCGGTATGCTGAGTATATTTTTATTTTCCATGGGCGTGGTCGGGTTTGCATACTAGGGTTAGGATGCATGTTGCTGGAAATTTTGATAAGGGCTGCATACACATTTGCATGATGCAAGTGCGTTTGTAACGAGTAGTTCATTCAAAGCCAACTAAATACTAGTGATGTTATTGGCGAGTTTAACTAATTAAGCTCCCCAGTGCTGAGATACATCCATGTGCAGAGCAATGCCCAACTGATCCTCCATAAACAATGTTCAGCTGTAACCCCAGGATTGGCGGTTTGCAGGCACTTTGTGCAGAGAACAGCCGCGCTCGTATCCGCGGACACTGCAATAGCCCCGCCTGAAACTATCATGAGTCACTTAAAAACTCATCGCCATTTAGCTATCTCAACAACCGGAGAATGTGTTTGTTTCTAACATCACTATGACATAATTTATTGCAAAGAAAACGTTCCAATTTAGAAACCATACCCCGCTGCCAGGTGAACCAGACAATCATGTCCAATCCAACAAGAACTACTAATAATCTAGCGAACTCTCCTCACGGTCGAGATGCTGGTAACGGGCACAGAACGAGGAGGGGCAGAGGACAAGGCCGGGGATGTGGGAGAAGAGAACACGACTCTGAGCGTGAACGGTTACGGGCCGTGTCCTACGAAACCAAAGCACTCATTCCGAATATCCTAGCCGCGTCCAAGAAGAGCAGCTTAACAGAGGGCTTCCTTTACCGATCTCCGGCGGCGCCACCCCTCTTAGACTAGAGATTTTGCCCTGGGTACACCGGCACCAAGATCCAGGTTCTCAATGTTGATACCTTTGATGCCGGGATCCAGGAACTCAGTAACAACAGTAACCCGTCAAGCACCACAATGACGGAACCCACACCACCCGCTCCCGTTGCCGTCCTGAACATGGCTAGCGACTTTGCTCTAGGCGGAGAATGGCTTGGTGGGGCACGAGCGCAGGAGGAAGCTCTTTGCAGACGCAGCACACTCACTGTATCACTCAAGCAGTCTTTCTATCCCACGCCCGCTAACGCCGTGATCTACAGCCACGCCGTCATGATATTCTGACACAGTCTAAAAGACGGCTTGGCTAATAGAGCTATCGAATCCAACTGGGCTCCTTATAGTCAGCGTTATATCTATGGCAGCGCCCCGTCGCGCAGCCGTAATCAGAAGCGGAGATTCGTTGATGAAGTATGCTAATCCCAATGATCGCTCTTCCCAGGCTCATTTTTTCCCCAAATCTGCTGAAAACCTAACAGTGTTATTCTCAGTGAGCTCAGTGATTGTCTGTTGAGACTTCTGTTTTGTAAGGCGGTTCCTAACAATGTGGCTCTTCCCCTTGCAGTGGTAGCACTGAATATCTGAGTGAGAGGTTGCAGGTTCCTTTGCTGTAGTGATCAGCTTTGAGGAGCTGGTAAAGGTCTAGGTGTTTAAGGTTCATAGGGCATTCTGCCTCAAGATATTAGGTCTGTTGCTCTGTAGGCTCTTTGACTTCTGAGTAGTGTTGATCACCTGGAGGGTATAAGCTGCCTGAACACAAATCTTTTAAAATTCATTGTATGTACTAGTTGTTGCATTGACCACCGCTACCATTCTCTGGAAATCAAAGGAAAGTTTGTCATTAAAGTCAGTCTTATAACCCTTCTAGACAATCTTAGCATCACCTATCAGATGTAAAAACTTTATGATAAACTCATAGTAGTTATTACCATTGTGCATAATCAACTTGCAATAATTATTCTTAGCATTCTATAGCTTATTAATGTTCTTATAGATTGACTTAAGGTGCTTAATTATCTCTTCTGCAGTCTGATATTGTTCAGAATGATCCTCCTTCATGCAGAGTGCAATATGGTGTGCTACATCTCCATCAGTCCAGTTTTCAACATATGCAATCTTCATGTGTTCAGTGAAGTAGTGATTGGTATTCTCTCAGAGCTTGTTCTTCATGCAGGAGAGCCAGTGCTCAAACTTTGATGTCTTGTTATCAGTAAGATGTTTTGAGTCATCAATCTTGACAGATCTTCTTGCGTTCTTTGAGAGGATGATATCTTAACTTGTTGCTTGATAGCTGACTGTCATGTGAACTAAGATATGACTAAGCTCACCTCATTCTGCAATGAGCTCATTAGTTTGACTCTGCTTGATAGCTGTCTGGGCTGCAGTATCATTCTGTTCCATTTGCAGGCATGTGACTATGTCTCTTAGTGCCTTCTCATCATCAAAAATGCTGTTAAAGATTGCTGCTAACTCATTGTATACATAATTCTTGTCTGAGTAAATTGTCTGTCTGAATTCTTCAAGTGAGACTTGCAGTTGATCAGTTGATCTTATTAGAACATATCATCAGTTCTTCTTGATCTTTTCAGAGGGCTGGAAGTCTGGGGGGCCAAGCCGTTTTTCGTTCCCTTGGTCTGGTTCTTTCTAATGACTAAGAAGGATGGATTGCTGTTCTGAGCTAACTGTGTTTTAGACTCAATATGCTGTTGTGCTATCAGATCCTTGCTGAGCAGGTTCTACTCAATTCTGAGTAGAAACATTAGGAGGAAGCTTAGTATTATGTTAGAGTGTGAATGCAAGCTGCATAGAAGGAAACTCTCTGCATTGCTAACTGCTATTTATAACAGAATACTAAGCTTGATGGGATGAAAGGGCGGCCTGCCCAGGTTATAACTGTTGGAGCCTAGGCTTCCTATTATGGACTAGCGCACCGCACAATAGTATATAGCATCCCTGAGATAGGCTACCAATACAACCACTAAACTTCAGACGTCCAACAATAACAACCCACATGGTCACGTGATCACGTGATGAGGGTTAGGCCTAATCGGGTGCCGAGCTTAATCCGATGTCGAGTCTAACCGGGCGCCGGGCCTCGGTCGGGCTCAGTTGGGTGCTTGAGCCTAACAGCTTCTCACACTTTCTTTTGACACTTAGTTCAGTCACATCAAGTGTCCTCACAGTATACTTCTTATACTAGCTTCTTGTCCTCACATACTCACTCTTTTAACTTGAGCAAGCTAAGAAAGAATTATTACTTGTATACTTGAATCTAGATTTAAATAAATATAGTAAAACTAAATAAATGAGTTTTCAATATCAATTTAATTAATATATAATTTGACTTTGTTATTATTCTTCTTTATTTAACATATATTAAGTTAGTAACTATAATATATATTTAGTTAAGCTAGAATTTAACTATTTTACTAATCTAACTAATAAATAGTACTTAAATCATATAATTACAAAGTTTTATCTTAGAATAATATAGTATTTAACAATCTTTTAATAAAAGACATATTTAAAGTTTCAATTTTAAATCAGTTTTTTTATCAATTTAAATAAAATAAATAACATAATATAGTATAAAATAAAATCATATAAATTACTATAAAAAAATCTTAATAAAAGTAATATTGAAAATATTTTCCTCAACTTTTATAGATCAAATATCAATATTATAGTATTATTATTAATAATATGAAATAAGATTGATCTGCTTCAATTTTTAATTATATTCAATTGCTTAGATTAATCTACTCTAATTTTTAATTATCTATATATATTAAATTACTTATCTTATTTTTATATTTTAATTCTTAATTTAGTATTTTCATCATATCTATCTAGTTAGATAGATAAATTGAGTTTTTATTTTATTATTATTATATTTTTAGAATTGAACTATGAAAGTCAACTTTATTTAAAATTAAAATTTATTTTTAAGAGATAATTTTTATTTTTTTAATAAATTTAATTAAAATCTTTTTTTCTAATTTAATATTAAATAAAAAGATTATAATTAATTAATTAATTGAGTATTTTTTTTAAATATTTTTTAATCTTATTGTTTAATAAATATTTTATCAATATATGATTTAAATTTTTAACTATATTATAAAAATCATATTTATCAAAGTCCAAAACATCTTTAAATCTTTGTATATATATTTTAAAGTAGCTATATATAAGTTTTAACTATATTATAGAATAAAATACTTTCTTTTTATATTTTATTGATAAAGACTTTTATTTTAATTTTATTTTATATTTTATATCTTAAGTATCTTTTTTTTCTTTTTATTAAATCTTTATTTATTTATTAAGATATAATTTATTAATTTTTTTTATTAATATATAAATAAAATATAATTTTTTGAGTTATTTTTTAAATTTTAATTTTAATTTTTATTATTAAATTTACTTTTTTATTTACTAAAATATCTATATGAGTAGATAAGATACTCAAAATAAATAAATTTAAATATTTTTATTTTTAATCTTAATTCTTTTTACTATTTTTTAAATTAATTTAAGATTTATTTAATTACTTTAAATTTTAAATTTTTAAAGTTTTTTTAATATTATTTAACTATATAAAAATATTTAAATATTATTAAAATTTAATTTTTAAGATATAATTTTATAAATTATCATAAAAATACCTTTTAAATTATAAATAACTTAATATTGATAACTTTATATTTTTTAAATTTTATAAAAAAATCTTATATTTTGAATCTAGTTTAAAATATTTTACTATTATACTAGCTATCAACTAATTGTGCCCCGCGTACTCACATCTAATGTGGGTGTACCACAGCATAATGATAAAAACAGTATAATGATAAAAATATCAACTTCTTCATTAATCAATCTTCAAATATTAATCTATTACCACTACCATGATCAATAAGATAAATGATCTTGAAAAATATATTCAGAGTGTCATTGAAGTTTATAATTACAATTGAAAACAGAAAATTCTACCTCTGATGTGCAAATTTAATGTTTCTTATCAACATCTTCAAGTAAAAATTAATGAAAGAAAAACACACAATGCAAAGACTGCACTGAACAAGAAGCTTAGCAAGAGTCAGAAGGACATGTTAAAAGAGTAGATAGCTCATATGAACAGAAACAATTGCTTACTGATCATAAAGCAGATTCAAGATAATGTAAATTTCATTCTCAAATACCATCATATTAATTCTTCAACCTCTCTACTCATGGTCAGCAAGATGTGGATCTATCAATGTATACAAAGCTTGAATGAGTATAAAAGGGTTAAGCAGAAGGCAATAGATTTAAAAAGAATTGCTGTTGAAGATATTAGCTACATCAAGATGTGGTTTAACTGTTTAAAAATCTTACTTTAAAAGTACATATTTCAAACCTGCAATATCTATAACTTTGATGAGTTTGGCTTTCAAGAGAGTCAAAGATATGGAAAATAAGTTATTACTGCTTTTAAAGACTTTAATTCAGTTATAACTTTATCATATTCTTGAGAATTGATCACTGTGATTGAGTGTGTTTCAGCAGATGATGAGGTATTGAATCCCTTTATCATCATGAAATTCAAAACTCAACTTAAAGATTGATATATATAAAGTAACCTATCAGGTAAATATATAATTATGACATCAGATACTGGCTATATCAATGATGAGATTGACTTTGTATAAATTCAGCACTTTAATAAGATCTTTAAAAAACATCAGCAAGACAGTCATTAATTACTGCTTCTTGACAATTATGAATCTCATCTCACTGAAGAATTTCTACAATACTGTAATCTTTATAAGATTATTCTATATGAATTTCTTTCACATTCAACTCATGTACTGCAATCTCTAGATGGTATATCTTTTCAGCAGTATAAGTACTATCATTTAAAAACAGTTAATCAAACTATATAATATGAATATAAGCAGTATGAAAAACATCAATTTCTACAGAATCTTGTTGATGTCTGTAAAAAGACTTTTCAACCTTCTACTATTTAAGCTGACTTCATAGATTGTGGTGTTATCCCATTCAACCCACAATCAATACTGCTTAAGTTAGAGTCAAAGGTCTCTGACTACTCTGAGTTGCAAATATATAAAGAAGACTTCTTTTTATTGCAATCAAGCTATTCAGATACTGCTTCATCACAGCTATTCTCACTCAATACAATTGAGAAGCTACAACATCATATTCAAATGACAAAGAAGGCAATACAAGATATAAAGGATATATCTGATTTCAAATTACCTTATCTGAGCAATTGATTGAAC